TAAAATTTCTTGCAGGCTGGTTTAGTGGTCACAAATTCCCTTAATTTTGGTTTGTCTGGGAAACTTTTTCTCTCTCCTATTTTGAGTGACAGCCTTGCTGGATAAAGAATTCTTGGCTGCATTTATTTTTTATTTTATTTGTTTAATGTTTATTTTTGACAGAGAGAGAGAGAGAGAGAGAGAGAGAGAGAGCAGAGAGAGAAGGAGACACAGAATCCGAAGCAGGCTCCAGGCTCTGAGCTGTCAGCACAGAGCCCAACGGGGGGCTCGAACTCACAGACTGCGAGATCACAACCAGAGCTGAAATCGGACGCCTAACCGACTGAGCCACCCAGGCGCCCCCGCACATTTTTCTGATTCAGCACACTGAATATATCCCGCCACTGCTTTCTGGCCTGCCAAGTTCTTGTGGGTAGGTCTGCTGCAAACCTGATCTGTCTTCCCCTTTAGGTTAGGGAACTTTTTTTTTCCCCTTGCTGTTTTCACGATTCTCTCCTTGCCTGAGTATTTTGTGAATTTGACTATGATATGCCTTGTTGATGGTCGGTTTTTGTTGAATCTAATGGGGGTCCCCTGTGCGTCCTGGATTTTGACGTCTGTGTCTTTCCCCAGGTTTCGTACATGTTTTCCGCTATGATTTGCTCACATTACCCTAATACCCCTATTTCTCTCTCTTCCGCTCTGGGACGCCTATGATTCTGATGTTGTTCCTTTTAAATGAGTCACTGGTCTCTCTAATGCTTAAATGGTGCTCTTTTGCCTTAATCTCCCTCTTTTTTTTCTGCTTCATTATTCCCTATAATTTTGTCCTCTATATCTCAGAATCTCTGTTCTGCCTTGTCCATCCTGGCCGCCACTGCATCCATCCGTGATTGCAGCTCAGTTATAATATTTTTAATTTCATTCTGGCTATTTTTTATGTCTTTTATCTCTGCAGAAAGGGTTTCTAATCTATTTTGGACCCCAGCTAATATTCTTATTATCGTGATTCTAAATTCTGGGTCAGACATCTTGCTTCTATCTGTGTGGGTTAAATCCCTGGCTGTCGTTTCTTCATGCTCTTTCTTTTGGGCTAAATTCCTGCTGAATTCTGTGGTTCAGGTTGTGCAGATTGTTGTGTTAGTCCTCCAATCAGTGTTCTAGGTGTGTAGGATGGTTTCGTGTTGGCCTGGCTGTATTTCATGGATGGGAGACACACACAAAACTTCCATGCTGTTCTGCCATCTTGGCCCCTCCCCCATTCACAAATATTTTAAAAACTTATCTCAGGGTGCCTGGGTAGCTCCGTCGGTTAAGCATCCAACTTAGGCTCAGGTCATGATCTGACAGTGTGTGAGTTTCAGCCCCATGTGGGGCTCGCATTGGGCTCGCCACTTTCAGCGCAGAGCTGGCTTCAGATCCTGTCTCCCTCTCTCTCTGCCCCTCCCCTGCTGGCTTGCTTGGTCTCTCTCAAAAATAAACAGTTAAAAAACCTATCTCAATAGACGTGAAATAAACATCTGTTAACGTTCAATATTCATTCATGACAGAACTTAGAAAACTAGTATTATAAGGGAACTTCCTCAATATACTTGTGGCAGAAAGACCCTAAGTGACTCCATAATATCTGCCCTTTAGTGTTGTCACCTTTTCTTTATAATTCTTTTCTCTTAAGCTCTGTGACTTGACTCTAGCTATTAGAATATGGGAAATGTAAAGGAATGTCGCAGACATAATTAATTCAGTTAATTCAGAGTCAATCAAAAGGAGGATTATGCTAGGCCAACCTGATCTGATCACGTGAACACCCTTCAAGGAGGACTGAGCCTTCTCTGAAGTGACATTCTCCTTGCTGGCCTCCTAAACTAAGCAGCCACATCGAGGAAGTCTATGTGGCCACGAACAAGGAACAGCCTTGCTCTAGGCTGAATATTGTGTCCCCACTCACCGAAACTCATGTGTTAAATCCTAATGTTCAACGTGATCGTATTTAGAAGTGGGGGATTTGGGAAGTGATTAAGCCATGAAGGTGGAGCCCTCATGAATGGGATTAGTGCCCTTATAAAGGAGGGCTGGGAGAGCTCCCTTGGCCCTGCGCCAAGCAGGAAGACCAGCGTCCATGAACCAGGAAGCAGGCCGTCGCTGGACACTGAATCTGCCAGTGCCTTCGTTTTGGACTCCCCAGGCTCCAGAACTGTGAAAAATAAAACTTTTTTTCATAAGCCTATGGTATTTTGTTAGAGCAGCCCAAAAGGAGTAAGACAAGTGTCTGGGAACGCTTAGGACCTAAGCCTCCAACTAGTAAAGAGCTGTGGAAATGAGTCCAGTCATACAGTCACAAGGAAATTCTCTTAAAAACAAACGCAATGGGCTTGGAAGCAGATTCTTCCCCATCGAAGCACCCAAATGGGGAAGCGCAGTCTAGCGGACACCTTGGGTAGCGGACAGCCTTGTGAGAACCTGAACAAAGGACCCAGCTAAGCCATTGCTCAGCTTCTGACCCATAAAAATGTGAGATACATGTGTGTGGCTGTAAGACACTGTGTTGATGGTGCTCTGTTGTAAACGGCAAGAACAAACTAAGAGACTGATAAAAGATATACACTTTAAAAAACCCCACTATCTACATAGTTCTAGAAAACTACTTTTACGTGTTGCAATTTCAAGAAGACATGAACACTCACTATCCTCACATTTACTCAACGTCATTCTTGTAGTAGGAAAGAAAAAAAAAATGAAAGCTCTAGGAATCGGAAAGAAACAAAAATGCCACTATTTATAGATGATATGTCGCTGCATGCCCCAAATCCAAAGGAATCTGCAGATAAAACACTCGAGTAAGAAACAATATATTGTGGGGAATAAGCTTAGACAATTAAAAGACTAGTTGTTTGCAAAAATCAGTATAAGAAATGTCTTTCCTTACGAACTATTGGCAGATTCAATGCAATTCCAATGAGAAACGGCTTTGGAGAACTTGCCAAGTTGATTAAAAAGACCTGTGGAGCCCTTCCTTCCTTTCTTCTTTCTCATCCCCAACAGTTTAGTTCCCAGTCCTAGAAACAGAGGCATGGAGTTGTGAGGGTCCAGAGTAAGGTGCTGGAGCTTAGACAGAATGGGGAAGGCATTACATGTGGGACAGTCACCCTGCACAGTGTTGGAGCTCAAGTGAGAGCATCCCTGAAAAGTGAATGATATAGAATAATGAAGTATCACAGACTGAACAGGGTGGGGAGGCATCTGCACAGGGGAAGAATAGCCCAGCGTGGGTTTTCAGAACCTGCAGGGGGGCAAACCGTCTGCAGACGAGGTGGCCTGGCACAGGGTGTCTGAGAAAGGAGATATGTACATGTCTCAAAGTACTTCCCCACAAAATACTAAATAATTGGAAAGTGGAAAGTTAACATTCCAGGCGAGAAACCTGGCAGATACTACCTCTGGTGGCCAACATTAACATCACCAGTACTGGGACAAATCAAAACTGTAGGTCACACGATAGGATGCAATGAAAAGAGTAGGTTGTAGTGATACTCTTGCTAAAAATGTATGATCTGAATTTTACCATAAGGAAACCTAAGAAAAATCCACATTGAAAGACATTCCACATTACTGGGATTTACTTGTCAAAAGGTTAAAAGTCATGAAAGTCCAGGAAAGACAAAAGAACTGTTCTAGGGTGAAAAAGACTAAGACACACAACTGAATTCAATACATGGCTCTGGACAGGACCTTCCTTGGTATTACATATACTACAGATAAGTGAGCAAACTTAAAAAGAATTATGAGGAATAAATGATAGAATTATACTGAACCCTTGAACAAAAGAGTTTTAATGGGTGCACTGACTACACGCAGATTTTTTTTCAGTACCGGAAATGTACTTTATAATTTTCTTCATGGTATTTTTTTCTGTAGCTTACTCTATTTTAAGAATATGGTACGATACAGATCATATACAAAAGATTATTGGTAGTAGCAGTGGTTGTCTTTGGGGCTCAAAAGTTGTTCATGGCTTTTTGACTGTGGGGGGCAGGGGTCAGAGCCCTTAACCCCATTGTTCAAGTGTCGAGTGTATTAATGTTCTGACTGTGAAGGTTGTATGGTAGTTATGTGGAATGTACTGACTTGTAGGATTTAAATGCTACAGGAATCGGGCATCCCATTAGCAATTTACCTGCAAATGGCTCTCGGGCCGGGGGGAGTGATTTCTTTTTTTTTCTCTATTTTTTCTTTTCTCTAGCTTTGTTTCCAAAAAGCAAATCAAAAATAAATAAATAAATAAGTAAATAAATAAATAAATGGAAAAGGTGAAAAGCCTTAGGTAAATCTTATTTCTCCATGTGGAAAGAGCTATGAATCAGTTTACAATTAAAATTATAAATAGGTTTTATGGCACTATAAAAAATTGTAATATGTACAAACATTGGCAATAGCCATAGCAGGAATACATCAAACTAACATCTAAATCTTTAGGCCCACATATAGTCATAAAAATTGGAAAATACAAAAAAGCCATTCATGAACACTAATGAAGTATTTATGACAACTTCGTTGTTTGGGTGCTGTTCAAACACCAGGGAGTGGAACAGTCTGATGTATGTCAAACACTCTAGTGCTGGTTTCCATGTACAAAATGTGGTTAAAAGTTAATGAGTTGCCAAGAAACATAGTTTAAAATATTATACAGATTTTCATTGCACACATATGACACAAAAACATTTTCCTTTAATCAAGATTTTGCCATATAGTGTGTTCAATTGGGAAGCAATGACAATGTTTTGTAAGCATCCAGCAAATTTTTTCTATTTATTTTTCAAATCATATAATTTTTGCTCAAAATCTGTACATATTCTCGTGACGCTTTCCATACTGGATCTTGATTTAGAATTGAATCATCAGTAGATACTAAAGGAGTTCTACAGGATCCTCGTTCAAACTCGGTAGCAGCTGAAAAGGAAAAGAAAGAATTATCTTCTTTCTCCAAAATACTTTTCACTACAGGTCCTTAAAGAAGAAAAGAAAAAAAGAAAAGAAAAGAAAAGAAAGGAAAGGAAAGGAAAGGAAAGGAAAGGAAAGGAAAGGAAAAGGAAAAGGAAAAGGAAAGAGAAAGTTGGGGCCTTTATGAAAAGGTGTTAAGAAAAATGAAAAATAACTACGTACAACTGCAATATGAAACCCAAGATTAGTATTAAATATATTTTGCTCAGGGTTGCACACTGAATTAATTGCTATTGTGGATAAATATCAGAGTTTCTGGTTTTTTCATTACAAGGTGAAGTTACTAGATGGGGACACAGTCCACCCTGACCAGTCATAAACTATAAACTGAAAAATCAAACAGGCATTTCCAAACATTTCTGAACAGGACCTTCCTTGATATACAGATGTAAGTGACAGGTATAAAACACAGCACTACTGGAACATACAGAAGGGACATCCCAATTTTCCATCAATATTATCTGCTTTTTGGAGAAGGTGATATGTAAGCTGACACCTGAAGGACAAGGAAATAGTATGCTAGGTAGAGGGAAGAAGCACATACAAAGAGCTAGATGTGAGGAAGAACACTTGTGCAATTATGAGTAGTTTAGTTTGAGAAGGTGCTAGAGCAAAGCAGCAGAGTAGGGCAAATAGTGAGACAAGGCTGAATAATCTGGCAAGAAGCAAACTGATTTGGGTATTTTCATTCCATGCTAAGGAATTTGAAGTTTTACCCAAGGGCAAAAGCAATGACAAAGTCAGTGAGTGAAGATTGAAACCCGTTACCTGTCAAGTGACAGCTATATGACTTCTAATTACTTAACCAAGCATTAGTAAGACGTTTGGCTTTTTGGGTCTTCTATCACTAGCGGAAACAACAATTTGATAAAGCACACCTTTTCTGAGACTTGTGCAGGTTGACAGCTCCATAGGGATGGCACCAGTGAAGGAAGATTGTCGCCAGAAATAATAACAGATATATAGACTTAGGGAGATTGAAAAAACTTCTTTAACGTTTATTTATTTTTGAGAGAGAGACAAACCACAAGCGGGCAAGGGCACAGAGAGAGGGAGACAGAGAATCTGAAGCAGGCTCCAGGCTCCAAGCTTTCAGCACAGAGCCCTCTGTAGGGTCTGAACCCCCCTGAGGTGAAATCAGTCGCCCAACCGACTGAGCCACCTGGGTGCCCCTAGACTTTTGGGAGATTTTAAAAGAGCAAGAAACATGACGACTAAATGAGGAAGAAGTGTGTTCTTCATTATGCTCATGCTTTTACATTTTTTATTAGATATGTACAAAAAAAAATGTGAATGCAGTATCCATTATCCAAACAACGGAAAAGGATGCCAGTTACCATTTATAGTTTATTTCAGAAATCAATGATATCTAACTTCATACATTTTTGGCAACATACCTTCTTCTAGTGCTCTGGTTACTCTTTTCTCCAACTCCCGCTGCATCTGAAATAAGTCAAATATTATTTAGAATGTGTAAGGTAAACAAAAGACATTGTAGGAATTATATATAGCTTACGACATGTGGTCTTGAAACAATACTTGTAGAGATTAAACCAAAGTTAGGGATTGCTTACATAGAAAGACAATCACATGAATAAAATAAATTCCTACCTATTTTATGTTAGTTTTAGGTAATTGAGAACAGATACATACATACATACACACACACGTATATATGTGTATATATATGTGTGTGTATGTATATATACGTGTATATAATATGTGTATATTATATATATATAATGCTATTTAAGTGAATCTGATAAAAAGCACAATTAATATTGATCTATTGAATGTGTATAATCTCTGAAAGGTGATGTTTGATCTTACTGGTACAAAAAAGTTTAAACAAGAATCATATTGTATACTGAATTATTACTTGGAAATTATTAGAAAACCTGCCATTTATGAAAGTTTAATCAGTTTTTTACCTGAATGAATTGTTCCTTAAAATGGGCTTTCCATTCTTTCACTTTTAGAAAAGCAAAATTTGAAGGAATGCTTTTGCTATTAATTTTTCAGGACTGACTCTTAAATACATATAAAATGAAGAAAGTGGGACTGTCATACTGTTATGTGGAAATTCTACTGGCAAAAAATTGAGTAATAATATTTTGCTATCTGTATTATGACTAAAACATTTATTTCTTTTCGTATGCACACAAAGATTTCAGAAAATCTCTTTGAAGAAAGGAAAAATAGAGGGTTACAACAGTTTTCAAACTTAGCTTCTGATTTATAACTTTCTCAATTAGAGTTAAGGAAAACAATATACAATTTTCAATTGTAACTTTGTTTCCTTTGTCCAAATTAGGACCAAGTTTGGAAACACTTGACTTATTAAAGTTATGGTTATCTACTTACTTATGAAATGTGTACGAATATTTCCAACTACAGGTGACCCTTGAATAACACAGGGGTTGGGGTGCAGTCAAAAACCTGCATATGAGTTTTCATCCCCCAAAACTTAATTACTAATAGCCTACTGTTGACCGGAAGCCTTACCGGTAACATAAACAGTCGATTCGTACATATTTTGTGCAGTAGAATAAGCCAGGGCAAAAAAAATGACATTGAGAAAAACAGAAGGAATAGGAAATACACTTACAGTACTATACAGTATCCAAAAATAATCCATGTGTAAGTAAAGTAGACGCGCACAGTTCGAAACCATGTTGGTCAAGGGTCAACTGTATATTACAACTGTTCCTGTCTAGAATGTTCTTATTTAGATCTTTCTTATACAAGGTAGCCTCTCCCTGAATGCCCCAAACGGGCTCCAAAATAGTGTACTGAACATAATCAACACTGGTGATAAGGATTCCAATGTCTTTACAAATGTAGGTGTGAGGACAAATGTTTTGGCTGACATGTTTCCCAATATTTTCAGAGACTGTTTTCCCTAATACCTTTTTTTAATTGAGGTATAGTTGACAGACAATGTTACACGAATTTCAGGATACAAATTCAGATTGGACAATTGTAGACACTATGCTATGCTCACTACCGTACGTGTAGTTACTCTCTGTCACCATACAACATTAATACAATATTACTGATGATATTTCATATGCTGTATTCTTCATTCCTGTGATTTATCTATTTTATAACTGGAATTTGTACCTCTTCCTCCTCTTCACCTATTTTGTCCTTACTCTCTACCCACCTCCCCTCTACCAACCACCAATGTGTCCTCTGTAGTTATGATTCTGTTTCTTGACTTGTTTGGTTTTTTTATATTCCACATGTAAGTGAAATCAGATGGTATTTATTTGTCTTTCTCCGATTTATTTCACCTAGCATAATACCCTCTAGGTCTATCAATGTTGTCACAAATGGCAAGATCTCATTCTTTTTGATAGCTGAGGTATATTTCATTGTATACATATTACACATCTTCTTTATCCATTTATCTATTGATGGACACTTAGGTTGCTTCCATATTTTGGTTATTGCAAACAATGTTTCAATAAACATAGGGATGCACACAACTTTTCAAATTAGTGTTTTCATTTTCTTTGGGTAAATACGCAGTAGTGGAATTAATGAATATCTATTTTTAAGTTTTTGAGGAACCATAACACTTTTTTGATTAGCATTATATTCAGGCTTTATAAAATGAATGGGACAACATTACTATACCAGACTTATAAAATTAATAACTCAATACCAGATGATGGGGGAAGGCTTTATTCAAACAATTTTATATTACCATCAATAAATACGATATAAAATATAAACCACGTTTTTTACATGACATGAGTTAAGGAAATACCAAGGTAATGTTGCATCTTTTCCCCAAAAGCTCTTTTCCTAAATATTTACCTCTGCGACCTTTATGTTTATTTCTAGGTAAAAACTGTGTTTCGATGGTGAAAATAGCTTTCAAGTCCATGAATAAGAACACATGTGTACTTTTATGTATACCTTTCCATTTATCAGAAATATAAGGGGGTGAGAAAATTATACACAGAAAAACTATATATCAGCAAATTTTAATTCAAAGAACATTTTTAAAGAATTTTTAATTAGAAGGATTTTCTCATTAACTGTTAGCATTCAAATATGGCCCATAGAAATCTAAGGTTCGGTTGGGGACACTGCAGGATTGAGTCACAGCCATAGTCTCCATCTCTCCTTTAGTTAGACAGCTCTACTTCTCTCTGTTTTACACAATACAGTTTAATGCAAAAAAAATACATTCTATTCTTTGAAAAAATTATTTTGAAGGTATAAAAGTCACTAATTTAGTCAAAATCCCGAATTTTGCGTAATAGACAAAAAGGGCTCAGAGAGAGTGTACTTTGCGTGAGGTCATGAAACCAACTAGATGCAGACCAGGATTACACTTCTGGTCTTACCAAGCCTAGAGTTCTATGCCAGTTACTTCCTCATAGTCAGGAAAAATACGTATATTTTAAGTATAACTCAGAGAAAATGAATATATAAAACTTTGTCATGTGGCTCAATAATGTTTAGGTATGAGGCACACAAAATTAGCTCTCTAACTAAATTACAAATTTTAAAGTCATGAATAAAAATAAAGGAACAGAAATCATGTTAACTCCTTTTAGTAGCAGTCAATTTTTAAGCACTACTTTTTTAAACCACAGGACAGAGAACTTGAGAGAGAAAATCTTTAGGTGAAGCAAGCAAGCTGAAACTGAGGAAATTCTTCCTGAAAGAATGATTTATTTCTTCCAAAGAAAATTTGGTTTATCAAAATCAATCAACAAATGAGTGAACCCATGGTGTGGTTATTTATAGCAAAATTTAAAACCCAACACAGATTTCTCTTTCCCATCTAGCATGCTTCTGTCTAACCTCTCATCAGTTGGTATGTACAAAAGACACAATTCACTTTCGTTATAATTGAAATCCAGTCAGAAATAATAGGTGAACCTTCACTTCTCACATTTGGACTTCTCTCTCTCTCCCCCCCGACAGGAAGGGAGACTTACCTAACGGGTGAATTTGGGAGAAGGAGCTAAGCAGTGCTTATGTGTTTCTGAGTCTCCTCTTTGAAAAGATGTGCCTGCCCACAGTAACATGAATTTGGGTCTGCTCTCAGCTCTGTGGTAAGCACCCTGCCCCCAGGGTGGGTGTCAAGCATTTGTTTCCTCAATTTACAACTGTGTGGGGAAGTGCCCAATTTGGGAGGAAGCCCAGTGTGGCTAACATAACCTAAATCATATCCTCCAATTTGTTAGTGTGTATTAGTTATAAAGCTACTAAGTTTCTCTCCATCTCCCTGTCTCCTGTGTTCTGAATTTAGAAAGAGAAGAGCAGTGTTACTTGTCGCCTACCCAGTGTCACCTGTCACAGCTCCACCAAGAAAAATGACTAGACAACACTTACAGAAACATTCTCTTCTTCCTTGACTTCATAACTAATGTACATTGTTCAAAAGCAACGCCCACTCAAAAGAGAGAAAAAGTTGAAAGAAACCATTTTAGAAACAAACATAGAAAGTCAGACAAATGAGGACACAGAGGAATACCTTCCAAATGAAAGAACATGACAAAACCTAAGGAAAAAAAAAAAAACTAACAAAACTAAGAAAAAACAGAGATAAGTGATGTGCCTCATAAAGAGTTCAAGGTAAAGGTCATAAAGATGCTCAGTGAACTTGGGAGGAGAATGAATGGATCCAGTGATAACATCAACAAAGAGATAGAAAATATAAAAAAGAACCAATCAGAGCTGAAGGATACAATAACAGAAATGACAAATACACTAGAGGGAATCAACAGCAGAGAAGAAGATGCACAAGAACAGATCAACAATTTTCAAGACAGGGTAGTAGAAATCATCCAAGCTGAAAAACAAAAAGAAAAAAGAACTTTAAAAATGAGACTAGGTTAAGGGACCTGTGGGACAACATCCAGTGTAATAATACTTGCATTCAAGGGGTTCCAGAAAAAGAAAAGAGAAACGGGCAAAGAACTCATTTGAAGAAATAAAAGCTTCATTTTAAAAATTCAAATATTTGCTTGATTTAGCTATTTATAAAATGCTCTACAATCGCTCAGCAAGATATTTTATAAAAATTGAAACAGAGGTGCTATGAGTCAAAAAAAAAAAAGGAAAAAGAAAAAAGAGTGCCATAAGTAAGAGAGCAATTAAAGATGTATTCTCATGTAAGAAAATAGCAAAAATTTAACTTAAAAGAGAAATTAACCTTTTTAGTGTTACAAGTTGATTTAATTCATAAAAAAGGACTTACCATGGGTTCTTTTTTTTGTTTAAAGTAGCCTCCATGCTTAGTGTAGAGCCCAATGCAGGACTTGGACTCATGACCCCTAGATCAAAACCTGAGCTAAGATCAAGACTTAGACGCTGAAATGACTGAGCCACCCAGGCACCCCTTTAGATTCTTTTAAATAGTAAACATTCATATGTCGTTAAGTGTTTGGAGGATGATCATTCACTGACATACAGTGGTGCAAAAACTGGATGATAGCAAAACCTTCAAATGTTTATGAACCACTGCCAACCGAAAATAAGTCCAAGCATCTAAGTGTACCTGTGGTCAACAGGCAATAACATTTACTTTCTAAAATCAAATTTAAATGAAAGCTTTTCAAGAAATTTAACATGGGTCAGTTTAGTTATATTTGTTGAATACAGTTAATACTAGGTGTCTCTTGTGGCACACCTGGGTGGCTCAGTTGTTTTCAGTGCCCAAATCTTGATTTTGATTCAGGTCATGATCTCATGGTTTTGAGACTGAGCCCCACATTCGGCTCAGTGCTGAGCATGAAACCTGCTTGGGATTCTCTTTCTCCCTCTCCTTTTGCCCCTCCCCTGCATGCACTCACTCATTCTCTCGCTAAAATAAAATAAAAATAAGTATCTCTTGGAAATGAGAGATCAAGGGACTTAAATATATATATATATATATTTATATATATATATATATATACACACACACATATATATACACATACATATATATACGCATACACATATATACACACACACACATGTACACATACATATATATATATATATATATAATTTACCTCAGTTCTTTCTTAGCACATATAATTATGACTTTTACTTCGTATGTATTAGTTACTTAAACAACTCAGAATTTCACCAAAATAAAAGCAACAATTATATCAGATATCTGAAACCCAAAGTAAAACAGATAATATAACTAACCTTCCACAAGGAAGTCTCCCGGTAGGCATCTGACGGCCGTGGGTTTAAGGTAGGAATCACTAAGTTTCCTGTTGGAGTAAGGTTTCCATTGAGCACTAAATTATTTTCAAAATGTCCACAATAAGGTGTTTCCAGGCCTGGGCTCATAGTAAGAGTCCTGAGTGAAGTTTGATGCTGCTGTCTCTCTGCAAAAAGTTTTGTATTGCTCTTTGACAGTCTCTTATTAGTCCTGTGAAGATTAAAAAACACAAATACATTTTCTTTTTCCCTAAATCATCCCTAAATGACTTACATCTTTTTAAGTTTCCATAATAGTAAATAGCATTTGCCATTGAACAGTGTTTTAACACTGAACATGTGACAGAGCACACCTACTATCTAAAATTATACTTTTAAAATTGTTCTAAAGAAATACTTATGTTTCCAGGGGGATCCCTAACTAACAATTCAAATTAGGGAAGGGAGAGAAGTGGCTATCAGTGATGTACATGGCTTAACGAATAATACTTGCTGTCTTCTGGAATGGCTGTACTGACAACATCCTTCAGGATGCCAGTATATATACACACTTATATTTAGTAAACCTGTTTACAGATATAAAAATATACCATCCCTCAAAGACATTTTCAAGCGTTTGCTTTCACCACTCTTGTACATTTCACTTACTATCTCAAAGAAACTGAGCATTTGACACCGAGGAATCACTGAGACCAACAATCTCTAGGGGAGATAGTAGATGGCAGACGTGTGATCAGAAAGAATTAAAACAGCTACAGAGGCAAGTAGCTTATAACAGTTACCAAGGCATTGGAGGCAGAATCTGCCCTTTCTGTCTTCAGTCTTCCACATACCTCCCTCCCACCATGGTGCTCTTTTTAGCCACTTTGGGAACTATACTC